GTGTGTGTCACTGTGCCTTGTAAGGGTTTCTTGGTCTTACATTTCACACAGAGGTACGTCTGCTTCTCCCTCCCCAGTGCTAGAGTTAAAGTTGTGTGCCACCACACCGTGTAAGGGGTCTTTTTTTAGAGATCATTTGAAAACAATTCAAAGTCATCATGGCTTTTAGAGCAAGTTAAAGTTCACTTTATGATACACAAGACTAAAAAAAGGGAATTTTGGGAAATCTATCAAAAGATAAATCTTGTAGAACAGAATTGCTTTCCTGTCTTGGCTTTATAGCAAGAGCAGATATAGGACTAGTGTCTTTGAAGCTGTCAAAGAAGTAGTAGAAAATGCCCAGAAAGCAGAAAGTATAAACATCAAATTAGGACACAATGTCATCATGAGGTACTCATTAGCATCTAATGGGGGTAGGCAATACACATTCATAGTATCAGGATACCTAGTATCAGCATATATGAGGCAGAAGTTCAGGGCCATTTTTAGCCATAAAGGAGTATGAGACCAGCCTGAGCCATGCAAACCTGATGTCAATCTTTGATTTTCCTAAAGTCATATAGCTTAGAATCAACAGCTCTGAAGCTTGGAAATGGCACAGAGCCCAGGTCACATAGCCTGAGAACCTGAGATGTTTTTTTCTGTTGTACACAGGATGGAAGTGAAAAATACATATTTTGTTTTCTTACCACCTCAAATGCACTCTGGCAGGATATTGTCCCAATGCATACACAAAAAGATGTGTAATACCATTTTTCAATCAATTTTTCATTTTATAACACCCTCTATTTGGCATTGAGGCCAGGATATCTCAAAAAGCTGAACAAGTCCTTGACCAATTAGCATCACAGCTCCCAGCTTGTTTAAATTTGAACTTATGCAACCTTTGTAGATGTCAAGGACATTTTCCAGGATTTGTTCAGTTACCTTGGGTCTTTTTTTGGGGTTTCCAGAACAAGGAAGAGGTTGCCTGGAGTGTTTTTATTCCAGCACTGGGAGTCACTGTATCCCTAGGTAAAAAACTGACACTTTGTTAGTACTCATTAAGTGCACTTCAATAAAGGATGATAGAATTTTCTTCTGAATGCATATATACCCATGGGCTATTTGTGAACCGAAAGCCAGACACCATCATGGGGTCTCAAGAATATATGCAGAGAAGACAGAGACTGCAGAACTTGAGGAGAGCTGTTAGAGATGCAGAGTGAGTGAAGCTACAGAGTGGGTGTATGTTTGATGTTTGCGGAATAATAGTAGAGGACCAGTGCAGTTCCTAGTTGGATATAAATTTATGGACATGTCCTGGGAGTTGAACTTCAACACCAGTGGGTATCTGGGTTAGTGATAAGGTAGGTGGAGATAGGATTCTCTGCCTTTGGACTGAGAAATGGGAGAGAAGTAAGGAAATGATGGTTTCTGTTGATTAAGATCATTTAGTCTGATTCAGCCTGTAGGAGGCATTCATTTTCCAGTGATGCTGAAGAGAGGCGGGAGTTTGAGGCCTGGTGATGAGTTTGTTCATGTATAAGCCATTTCAGCCTCAACTTGAGATCGTGTTTAACAGACGATGGCCATGTTTGTGTAGTAACAATCATCTATATCTTTTTTTTGTTTGTTTGTTTGTTTTTGTTTTTTTTCGAGACAGGGTTTCTCTGTATTGTTTCGGAGGTTATCAGTCCAGCCTGGCCTCGAACTCACAGAGATCTGCCTGCCTCTGCCTCCCAAGTGCTGGAATTAAAGGCATATGCCACCACCGCCCGTCTACAATCATCTATATCTATATAGGAATTTGATAATAGCAGAGGAAAACAAAAAAGAGGAAGACATTCACTTGAACAATTTTCACTGCCATAGCAGAGAGGAATGGCTGACTATCAGAGATGGTTCCATTACCGTATCTGGCTCTGATGTGGAAGGGAATCCAGTGCTACTTATCTCTGGTCCTGAGCAGCATGAAGATTACTACCTGGATGATGATGACATACTGACAGAAAAATAATGAATCTCAGACATACTGAACTAGTGTGTTCAAATCAGCTTCCCTGTAGCAAGATCTGTAGAGATTGGGAGAAGAAAGCCCAGAAAGTCTGGAGGAGACTGTGAAACAGATACACACAGCTGTTTCTACTATTGTACCAAATCACTGCTTAGGTCTGGGGCACAGGATGATTCTGAGGATGAATATCATGGATTTCTCAATCTTTTTAAAATTTCTTTATTTAAATTAAATTAAAAACAAGTTTGCTTCACATGTATAATCCAGCTCCTTCTCCCTCCCCTCCTCTCCTACCCCCTTCCAATTCTCCCCCAATCCCTCCTCTAATCCCTACTCCACTCTCCAAGGAGGGTGAGGACCTACATGGGGGATCTCAAAAGTCTGTCATATGTTCTCCAGGCATGGCCTAGGATCTCCCACATGTGTAAAGGTGGGGATTGTATTCCTCCAAATGGAATGGGCTTTAAAGTCCATCTGGATGACTGGATAAATGCTGGTAGTTTTGCCTGAGGCCTCAAAGAATGCTGAGCCCTCCTCACTGACACCATATTCAGCAGTCTGGATCAGTTCTTGCTGGCCTCTCAGCTTTCTGTCTAGGATCTAAGAGCTCCCTCTTGTTCAGCTCAGCTCTATCTGTGGGTTTCCTCTGCGAAGTCATAACTACTTTGCTCATCAGTCCTCAATCTTTGCAACTGGATTCCAGGAGTTCAGTTCAGTGTTTAGCTGTGGGTGTCTTCCTCAGCTTCTTTCAGCCACTGGATGAAAGCTCTAGGGTTGCATACAAGAAAGTTGTCAAATGCATTATGAGTGAAGGGCATTGAAGGTAGTTGATCTGAATCTTGATAGTGACAAGCATTAGGCAGACAGCAAACAACACACTCAACCCCAAATTGAAGCAGAAAGTCATTAGATTGGAAGAAAATGACCTTCTTTTCCCAGAAAGTGAGTCTCTGAAATCTCAGAACCTATCATTTCAACACTCAGAGACAGATTTCTTATCAAATCCTGGAGAGGCAGCAACTTCTGTAGATGACCAGGTAATTGAGGGACAACACTGGCTTGACCACCCATACTTCCAAGATCTGAATCCCCAATCTCAGGAAAGAAGAAACAAGGTTGTACCCCAAGAGACTCATTATGAAGCAGAAATGGGCACAATGATCTTGTGCCAAGATTTCCCAGAGCCTGGTTTTCAATATCCAGAACACCTGGAGAAGGTCATCCATGATCCTTCTCCACAGCCAACCCTTCCTCTGGGAGAACTTGACGATCAGCACTTAACAATTCATGAAGAACCTGGATCAGCTTCTCCCTTGCCAAAATCTCAGGATGACAATTTTAAAAGCACGTGGGAACAAGAAGCTACTGAAATAGACCAAGAACTTGTTACATTATTATTGAAAGAAACAGAAGCAAGATGGGGTGGTGGTACATACAGAGATTGACAGAGAGATGCTCAGCAACAGAGATAAAGAGACAGGTATACACACAGAGAGACAGACAGACAGACAACAGACACACAGACAGAGAGAGACACACGGTGTCACTGAGAGAGAAACATAGGAGTAAGAATCACAGTGATGCACAGAAAGACACAGAGTGAGAGAATGAGAGAGAGACTTACAGAGAGAGACAAAGAAAGATACAAGTTGAGGGACACACAGAGAGATATAGAAGAGAGACATCCATTCTAAACTACAAATGAATGCCTGGAAGTTCTTTCCTCAAGGAAGAATGTGTCAATTCCTGTATGTGGGCAGTCTCCAACCCAAGATTAAACATGTGGAGAGAGTCAGTCAATCTAAGCTATATCACAAAGCAGTAATGATATGTTTTCCTTTTCCCCTTTAAAAAAACAAATTATCTGATTTCCTGATTTTGGCTTAATTAGAAGTGTTAGAAATAAATAGTCTCAGTCTGCCATGAAGCAATTTATAAACATGGCAAAAGAAACCAAGGAAATCAAATTCTTTCTGCAGAGTGGGGATGATATGACCATAACCTGACTACAACAAACACATGACATGCTGTCTTCAATCTTTCATGCCTACATCAACAGGGGGCTTCATTGGGATTAACCTCTCAATCTGTTACTCCAGTATAACTTGGATAGAGCTGTCAAAGGAAAACCAAAAGATTCAGGCAGCTGAGAACAAGTCAGGGGAGGAAAAGGACCAGCCTTTGAACCTGTTTCCAAGAGATAATGCATTTAACAATTGTGGGGATGGAAGAATTATTTTCCCAATATCTAAAAACAGAACCACATTTCAGGTGGAGAAAATATGGATTCTCAATAAATCAATATCCTGCTCTTCTTGGAAAAACCTTAACATCTTATGCAAAGACTAGACTACCAAAAGACTGTGATAGATGTAGTATGTTCTTTGTCTATGGCATCTGCTCTGCCTATTTTAAGTGCCAAGAAAGAGGATTGGGACCTCTTGTGAAGGGTGTCTCCATGACGATGCTGCCCAAAGACCCACAACCTGAGCGGAACTGGATGAACAGAAACACCACAGTTTCCACAAACTGGTTGTCAAATTTTTATTCCCATTTATTTTCTTTAGTTTACAGAAAAAGATGCACCCATAGAGACAAGATGAGGACTTGAATGCACTGGATCTCCAGTTGAAGAAGTTTGAGAATTCTCCTACATATGCTGAGAGCTGAACTCATAGAACTGGTCCTCTGCAGGTGCAACAACTGCTTTGGCCAACTGAGTCAACCCTCCACTCCCAACACCCTGAGTCTGGAGAGCAAAATTGCCTTATTTCTCTTCCTCATCTCTTGTAAGCAAATATTCATGTTTGTTTTCTCCTTTGGTCTAAATCCTTGATCCTATGTTCTCTTCAGTCTAATACAAATAGAACCCTGTTGGGATGTGCTTGGGCCAACAACCCAACTGAATCCCCAGTATCCAACTCACTGTAGAGAAATCATACCAATACAGCATCTGGGTAGGGTATCCTAGAATGAATTGTCATTAAACAGATTTCCAGGGGTATTAAAGGCCTGAGCCCCCATTCTGTCTTTCCAAAGATTCTTTGAAAAACACTGCAGTGTCCCACAGTCTACCCAGATGTCCTTGGTAACAATGTTGGCTGCTGCTCCTGGAATACACATATAGGTCACAGCTAAGAGTATCCCAAGATTGCTTGAGGCATTTGGGAGGTGGCTTGAGTAAAGAGCAGTGAGCAGAAAACAGGGTGCTGTATGATTCAGCAACCAACATTGTCTTCCAGCTTGAGGTCTCAGAGACCTCAGAAAAATGAGCTGTAATGAAATTCATGGCCTCTGTTTTCAGCTGCCATTCACTGTGGAGGTCAGCCAGGATGAGAATGTGGGCAGTATTCTCCACGGAGTGGTCCTTGCAGAGGACTTCCTGACACATGACCTTCAAACTCTCCAGGCCATACTTGTCGGCAGCTGCAAGCACAGCGTCTGCCATGTAGTGGAGGTCTGGTGCCTTCTTGGTGTAAATTAAGCCCATCATTGCCTTAAAGCGTCGCAGCTCCAGATCGTGGATCTCAACCTGCTTTTTTCTCCTCTCCACCGTGTCATGTTCAAACATGGCTCTGAAAACTGGAGAGCGAGCTGCAAAGATGGCCTTGTGAGCCCAGAATTCCTTGCCAGCTACCACCAGGCAGCAGTCTGTGAAGAGGGAATTCTCCCACAGCTCTCCTAGCTCATCTGCCATAGTGTACCTTGGAACCTGGATCCCTGGCATCGTTCTCTGCTCTGAGATGCCGAAGGCATCTTGCACCACAGTCACCTTGCATCGGAGGATGAGCTCATCGTCTTGGAGTATCCAAGGCTCCTCGGACAAGAGGAAATCTTGGAGGATGAACTGACTGAATCCCCAGTGTTCATTTAGCAGGAACATGAAGTATCTTTGGATCTTCATGTCTTTTGTTTTCACTACTTCGGAATTGATGATCCAAAACTGGAACTTTGCCCATGCTGGGCTCCTTGGACTGCTGAGCAGCATTAGGTAAACTGACCAGTAGCCTTCTCCTTTTTCCTCAACCCCATTTGGGTGTACATTCAAACACCATCTGTCTGTGTCACTGGCTCCTTAGGAGAAGTTTGGGCTTTTAATGGCATCCCTCATTTCCTGCAGGAAGAAACAGAAGTTGCTTATGGTCAAATTGTAGGTGAATTTCTGGAAACTGATCTCTGTGTATCCCCAGCTCTCGGGTGACAGGTCGATTGACATATCTGCTTGTGGCAGGATGAAGCTTAAAATGGATCCAAAATGAAGATGTAGGACTTCTTCTTCAACCTGGGGGTCACAGTTACACATATGTGCTAGTAAAAATATAGATGCCAAGTCTGTTTAAACTACTCTATAAAAAGACTGTATTACATGTAACTTGAATTTCATATAAAAGTTTGTGAATGCTAAATAAAAGATTATTTAGTCTAATATTTCAGAAGATTTTTGATCTGGTATACCTGGTTGATTTCATAGTTACTCTGTAAACAGACTGCTATTTATTTTAAATGTTTCTAATACAGATTTCTAGTTAGCTTGTTTACAGGTCTGTGAGGAGCCACCCTCGCTATCGCTATCGCCATTAGAAGATGGCGCTGACATCCGCTGTCAGTTGGAGTTTACCGTTTAAGCTGTGCCTCACCCGTCATCTGGGGTGATGAGCAAACCATCTTCGAGGAAGAGGCGTCTTCAAGGTTCATATGTAGTCAAGCTATTAAGTGTATTGAGTAGCAGACCTGAGAAGCATTTGAGGACAAAACCCCTACCTTGTTTGAAAAACAAAATCTTACATGTTAATAAAAGTATTCGTTTGCTTGAAAAGATAATAAACTCAGAAAATTATTAAGAAACACTAAAAAACAAAACAAAACAAAACAAAAAATACAAATAGGTTTTTGTGGGTACTACACCTGTCGTCCACTATGTCCAGATCATCATGGAGAGAAGCTTGCATCCTGGGGATGAGACTGGGAATGGATCCCACAATGGATGTGTTGGGAGAAGCAAAGACAGATATGAGATCTTCAGAATGGATTGACCGAGAAATAACTTTAGAGTATACATTTGAGTTTGGAAGGCGTTAAAAAAAGCAAAAACAAAACAAAAGAATCAAACGATAAGAAAACCTGTGTTCCCTGGAGAACAAGCTGGATGGAAATCATGGCTCTAGCAACTAACTCAAAAAAATCTGGGGCTCTAAAAGGAAGAAGGAAGTTAGGATAGTTTATGATTTGACACAAAATGACAATGGAAGCTTCAGATAGAATATCTGGTGTTTTTTTAATAGTCCCTAAAATCTAGATCAATGAGAACATGCCTAGGTGATAATAGGGCTCCATAGCTGTGCCCCGAGTGAAGAATAACTAGGGACACCCATGCATGAGCACAGGTCCCCTGCCCACACGTCTCAAGCTGCGCTAAGCATTGAAAAATCACCAAATCTGGGAGATTGTGGTAAATGTACAGGAAGCAGAGCAATTTAGATCACGGTGGGAAAAGGACAAATATGTGACATATACACATTTCATACTTAGGTCAAACCATTCAATGGGGCTGGCTCAATACTTTACTCCAACATGGGGTAACTAGCAATGGTAAAATACTTGGAGTGTGAGTTTTTTTCCATTGGAGTAAACAGTATGCTCCTCTGTTGTGTCCTTGGAGCTTCATGACTAACTATCTGCACCATATTTATCAACAGGAAAGATAGAACCTAGTGAATCCATACAACAAGAACTAACTGATGATGCCGGGCATTGGTGGCACACGCCTTTAATCCCAGCACTCGGGAGGCAGAGGCAGGCGCATCGCCGTGAGTTTTAGGCTGGGCTGGATCGACACCCTTCAAAACAATACGGAGAAACCCTGTCTCGTAAACCAAAACCAAAACAAACAAACAAACAAAGAACTAACTGATGAGTTTGAAGGCATTTGGTGATTAGGGGGATGTGATCCAGTTATCAGTGTTGGGTGACCAAAATACACTGGGAGACTTTTTTCTGGTGACATTCATGGGGACATTTTATGTCATTTCCTCACTTCAGGATATGAGTGTAATGGGAGACTTGATTGTGATGCTGCACCTTGAGGAACAAGGAGACTTTTATTTTACCCTTTAAAGATTCTGCTTCAAATGAATTGATGTTTTATAGCTCAGGAATTTCACAAAAGGAATTTAATTTTCAACAGATAACTTGTGGAACACCACCTTCTGGACAGGTTGGTCTGTTGTGAGATCCACAGACATACTAACCAGGAAGTTCTCCAGTCTTCTTCTGATTGTCCCTAGCTCATATAATCCTGAAAAAGAGCCTGAAGACAAAGGAGAGCAGGGATCAGTAGAGGTCAGGTGCCCCATTTAGGACCCAAATCTGAAGATGTTAGGTGAAAAGCCTAGATCATGGTCAATATCAAACACCCATAACGCATATGTATTCATCTTAGCCCCAAGAAGCAGGAATACAGGATGATCTGTACCTGAAACACAGGAAATAAAGGAGCTTCTACTTGAAGCTAGAGATTGAAGAAGATACCGGATGTCTAGGCCACTAAGACACCCTAATCCCTCTGCATTGCATCAATGTGGTACTCTAATTGAATAATAGACATGAAATTCCAACCTTAGATACATCATAATTACATTTCTAAAATCTTTTGCTGGTCCAATTAGCTACAGTACTGGATAGGCACTAGAAGTTCTTGAGTTAGGGAAGTTTTAAGGAAGCTGCTTCGTATAGGTTATCTGACTAGAAGAAAGGGAAACACATGTGAAGCCCTACTTTGAAATGGTAATACTTCAAGCCGATTATTGGGTCATTGTCATTCATTACTCCTGTTCAGGTACATGAAGTTATCAAAATGTTCTTTCATGTCAGCTCCACTTCCTGGCTGAACACTCTCTGCATTTGTTGCCTCCTTGGAACATCACAGTCTCTAGATCCTACACTCAAGCCTCCCTAGCATTTGCTGCAGGTTTGATATATGACATCATGTTCAGGTCTGTGCTGTGGCAGGAGAACACTGCACAAAAGAATAGTATGTGGAACACTATCCTGGAGTCTCAACAGCACTCTTGCTCTGCCTACCACAGTCTCTGTCCTCATGTGAGTGTCACTGTTACCACCAGAATACAGACATTCAAACAGCTCCTGAATTTTTACAGGACCTTGAGTCCAGCAAGCTGGGAATATGGTGAAGTTCAAACTTCAAACAAACAAATCTCCATAGTGTTTCCAAGGCTATTACTCTTTTACCTCCCTCTTCCCAACATCAAGACAGACTCAACAACATACATATCATACGAGCATTTCCTTGTGAACTCAGCTTCCTGGAAATAGGCAGTTGGATTCATCTTGTTCAGATCCCTGTGTGTTTCACTATTTCTCTAGGGACCAGTGCTTAAATATCTTCCTTAAATGCAAATTTTCCACCCATTTTAGGCTCCTCCCAGTCAGTCCTTCATCTCAGGTGGATTACCATTCGGGACCCTGCTGAGTGCTAGAATTAAAGGTGTAGGTATTCTGGATCTTACAATGTTTAATCACTGTAAGCAAATTAATAGTTTATGACAGGATTATGAATAAAATGGAAGCTGAGAATCTTGGCCTGGCCCACTGGGTGTTAACTGTAGAACAATTTGGAGCTTGATATCTTGTCTCATTTTGTAGTCTTATAATTAAATGTCAGTTAGATAAATGGTTACAGAACTTAGGACAATTTACTGCTTCTACATTCCATGTTCGGGCAGCATGCCTGTGCTCTTGGTGTGGAGAAAGAAAACTCATAAGGAGAAATTCATCCTCCATTAACTACATAGTGGCTACAAATCCTGCCTGGGCTACCAGAGACCCTAACTCAAAAGGGAAAATAACCATCCAGCAACAACACATACAAGTATGAAGAACAGTCATACACTCTTAGCATCGGAGGGCACATAAGAGTCAAATCATGGGCACAGACCTGTAAACAAGCTAGCCAGAAATCTGTACTTAGAAACATTTAAAATAAAGGGCAGTCTGTTTACAGAGTGACTATGAAATCAACCAGGAATACGAGATAAAAATCTTCTGAAATAATAGACTAAATAATCTTTTATTTAGTATTCACAAACTTTTATATGAAATTCAAGTTACATGTAATACAGTCTTTTTATAGAGTAGTTTAAACAGGCTTGGCATCTATATTTTTACTAACAAAAGTAAAAAGAAAAACGTAACAACCTACTTCATTTTTTCCTTTGTACAAAATAAGATCATGCTATTTTAACTTTGAAATATTTTGCTATGTACAAATAATAAATTGTATCCAGACTTAAGACAAATACACAGGGAGTCGTTAGTCAGTTTCTCAGAACAGTCAGAAGCCTGGACTTCACATCTTAGGTGGTAGCTGCCTCAGGGATGCCTGCTGATCCATCCATTGCCCCTCAAGTACTACTGTCACACAGGTTCTGGGAGCGCCACTATGACAAACCTCCTTGGTGGCACAGACAAGAGGAGCCTTCCTTTTCAGCCACAGACAGACTGTATTTCCAAGGACAAGATCCTTACTTTACCTCCCATGGGGGCCATGTTCTTTGCAGCTCCTGTTCTTTCAGCAGCCACATTAACTGCCAGGCTCATCTGGCCTCTTGCTGTAGTTTGTCATATACATACTGGGCAAACCCAGTACAGGTTGTCCAGTTCAGAGGTTCATGAGGTTTGGAAAGGTACTGCTTTTAGTTACCACCCAACTTTGGCATCTCCAGGAAGGGGCAGGGAAGAAAATACCCCAACAGTTAGGTCCTTGGAGGATCTTGTCATGCATATTTCCATGTGTCCATATATACAAGGCACTGCCAGTCAGACGAGTAGCACAGTTTGGGTGATGCAGAGCCGATCTCCTCTGTTGCCAGCATCATCACCACGATCTCCATCATAGTTATCACCATCTTCTTATCACCTCAAAGCACCACGACCATCATCATCAACTTCATTATCATCGTCATCATCATCATTTCCTCCAACATATCATCATCATCATTATCATCTCCATCATAAGAATCACTATCACTATCATCCCAATAAATATCACCAACACAATCATAATCATCATCCGAATAATCATCACCCCAATAATCATAATCCCAATCATCATCATCAACACCGTCGTTATCACCACCCACATCATCAAAAAAATTATAAACACCGTGTCTACTATAGCCATAACCACCACCATCATCATCGCCATCATAATCATCACATCCTTGAAAATAACCATAATTACTACCTTCATCATCACTGTCATCACTAACATCATCACCAACACCTCCAACATAATCATTACAATCATCACTATATCCATCATTACTTCTAGCATTCTCCACATCATCATCACCATCATCATCACCATCATCATCACCGTCATCTTCATCATGATCACCACCATCCAGCGGCACATGCATGTTTCCTAAGGCATAGTTGACACACAAGTTTGGCAAAGGTGGTACGTAGGCTACTGGCACAGCACATAAGTTGATGGGGATGTTGTTAAACATGGGGCATACAGGTGGTTGGGGGAAATCTCTATGCATAATGGCATATGGTGGCATCTGTCGGTGCAGTTCCTGTGGGACAGGCCATGGCAGGGCTCCCAGGTGCTGTACATTCTCAGCTGGCTTCTCCAGTGGTGAACCAATTCGTTTGAATGTGCTTTCTCCCTTCTTAATTTTCTGTTCCTCTTCAGCCCCTTTTTGAATTTTCTCAATCAGCATTTCATCATGTTCAGTGGGGTCAGTCCAGAGGGAGCACCTGGAACATTCCTGGCAAGAGGCTCCTGGAGAGAGGGCATGCTGGAGGAGATGGTCATAGTCATTGATAGAAACTTGACAGAGGTAGCACATATGGGCACCACAGCGGTAAGACATGTGGTTGCAGCCTTCAGATTTGATGAGGCTGGTGCCACACTGGGGGCATTTTCTAATGCAAGCAGCAGTCATATTTTCTTCAATAGATGTCCGGTACAGGACGTCATATTTTTCGGCCAGCACTTCACAGGTGAGACTGGTATGTTCTTTCCAGAGACCATGACTCTCCTTCAGGCAGTGAACATTAGGGCACCTAAACCTCTTCACTTCTCTGTCCAACAGAGCAGGGAAGCTACAAGAGGGGCACCTGATGAGCTCATCAGCATAGGCTGAAGTGACTTTTTCTTCAGCTCTCCGTTCATAGTATTTGCACAGGATGGTCTGGGGGAGCACCTTCTCCAGTTCACCGATTGGGAAGGAAGATGTGCAGCTACCTTTTATGCAGCTAAGTTCTGACTGTCCAGACCCAAATACTGCTTCTTTGGCATCTCTGATGAGACATTCTTCGCAGGACAAGTGAGCATCGGAGCACTGTGTCAGCTCCTCAAAAGGAAAGTCCCCATAGCAGCAACGACACTCAATCAGCTGTCCATCCTTTTCATATGGTTTTGCATTCATCTGCAGAGGAAGAAAAAAGTCTTCATGCTCTGCCTTGTCTTTGGTTTTCTGCTCATAGAATTCCTGTTCTTGCTGCATAGCTGGCAGGAGGTCTTTCTGGTCATAGGATCTACACTGTCGACACTTGTTATCCAAAAAGTACATCCTCTTTTCTATTTTTATACTGCCCTGTTCAAATTTGAAATCTATGAAAGAAGACTGATTCATTTCTTTCTTCTTTTTCTGGTTTCCACAGGTTTCAGATGATTCCTCCTGCCATTTTTCCATAGCATCAGAGAAGGCCTTTCTCGTGATTTCATAGTGTCCTTTGAGCTCCTGCAGGGCCCACTTGATGTCTTGACTGCTGAGCATCTTGAATTCAGCCATCAAGTGGTCAGCAGCTTGAAGGATGCATCCCTGGTCAGGTGGAGTCAGTTTGGAATAGTCAACAAAGTCTACTTTGGGCAACATCGCATCACCCGGAGTAGCAAGCAGGCCGCTCCTGGGGTACAAAATAACTTGGTCTTCTCTCTTTGGATAATCTGGGTTTTCCAGAAGAAAATTACAAAGTACATTCAAATCATAGTAATGCTTCAAATGAATGATCTCTTTAACATATCCATTTGCTACATCTGGAAATCTTGCTTCTGTTTCTATCACTAATAATGTAACAAGTTCTGGATCTATTTTAGCAGCTTCTTGTCCCCACATGCTTTTCAAATTGGCCTCCTGAGTTCCTGATAAGAAAGCCAGTCCAGGGTCTTCATCAAGTATTAAGTGCTGATTTTCTAGTTCTTCCAGAGGAAAGTCCAGCTGAGGAGAAGAAGTAACATGGATCCCCTCCTGCTGGGGTTCTGGATATGGAAAAGCAGGCTCTGAGAAATCTTGCCAGAAGACAATTGTGTCCATTTCTGCTTCATAATGAGTCTCTTTGGGAACAACCTGGTTTGTTCTTTTCTGAGACTGGGGACTCAGATCTTGGAAGGATGGGTGATCAAGCCAGTATTCTCCCTCAATGACCTGGTCATCTACTGAAGTAGTTGTCTCTTCAGGATTTGACAAATCTGTCTCTGAATCTTCAGATAATAAGTTCTGAGATTTGTGAGACTCACTTTCTGGGAAAAGCAGGCCGTTTTCTCCCACTCTAACGTCTTTCTGCTCCAATTTGTGGTTGACTGTGTTGTTTGCTGTCTGCTTAATGCTTGGTGCAGTTTTGGCTACATTTTTGCCACAATCAACATTCAGAAATCCATTATATTCATCCTCAGAATCAGCCTGTGCTCCAGAACCAAGCAATGATTTGTTACAATAGTAGAAACAGTTGTGGGTATCTGTTTCACAGTCTCCTCTAGTCTTTCTGGGACTTTCTTTTCCTAATCTGTTCAGATCTTGCCACGGGGCAGCTGATTTGTAGACACTGCCTTGGTATGTCTGAGGTTTATACTTTTCTGTCAGTATGACATCATTATCCACGTAGTCATCTTCATGTTGCTCAAAAGCAGGGATAAGTAGCACTGGAGTACCTTCCTCATCAGAGCCCGATATGGTTATGGTAAAATCTTTGTCAGTCATCCCTTTCTCTCTCATGTGGCAGTGAACATTGTTCAAGAGAATGGCCTCCTCTTTGTTGTTTCCCTCTGCCATTTTCAAATTCCTATAAAGATATAGATGATTGTTAGTACACAAACATTTTCATCATCTGTTCAACAGGATCTAAAGTTCAGGCTGAATGGGCTGAGACATGCACAATCACCAGGCCTCAAAATCCTGCCTCTCCTCAACCTCGCTGGGGAATTAATGCCTCCTACTGGCTGAAACAGACTAAATAAACTTAATCAATATAAACCACCATTTCCTTAGTTCTCGCATTTCTCAATTCAGAGGGATAGAATCCTATCTCCACCTATGTTATGACTTACCCAGATCCCCAATAATGTTGAAGGTCAACTCCCAGGACATGCCCTTAAATTTATATCCATCTAGGACCTGCACTGCTCCTCTACTGTTTTTCTCCTAACTTGACCAGATATCATTCAGAAGGAAAGTACCTGGATTGTTAACACAGAACTGTACTCAAGTAGTTAGATATAGGACTCTACAAGTGATTCCCCATTTGACATAAACAGGCATAACACTGAAAAAAACTATAAACCACCTTCAGTGAGTGTAACTTGAATGCCACTTGCCAATCACTTCCCAGTCAAACCTCAGAAGCAGAAATGGAACTGAATATTTGGGATCATAAAAGCAAACAAAATGAATTACTTAAATTACTATAGACCAAATTTAATGAAAATCTGCCAGAAAGAAATTCACTTAACAAGTAATTTTCCAAGAAATCCTCAGGAGGAGTAAGGGAGACAGTAAGCAAACTGTTCTCACCCACAGAAAGCAGACTCTACAACTCTGTCACATCCATTTGCTGTAGAAATCCCCCTGAGCAGGCTGCAGGCATTGACCCTCCTCTTGTGGGAATTACACAGTGTCACCTCTAGGTGTCAGCTCACAACAAACTAAAACACAATAGGTTTTGTAGCCAGTATTTTATTTTTATTTTCTTTCCTACACACAATTCTAGTGTATTATGGCAAAGGTGACCATGCCAACTTCTCCACAACAGTAAAAAGCAAAATTGATCGTCAAAATAACTCGGTACAAAAGAGGTCTGCTTCAGAATTAAAAAGAGAAGGAAATAAAGCCTTTACATGAGTTTTTAGATCCCACTTTAAAACAGGGAAATAACACCAGATGAGCTAGGTAGTCCAGGGGAGCAGCTGTTCTGGCCACAGTATCAGACACTACAGGATCCTGCATAGGTTCCAGTGGAGCAGGTAGGAGGCTAAGCACCCCAGATTCATGTTCTCCTTCTCCACCCACGGGACCAGAATGAGGACAAGGAAAAGAAGAACCACCAGATTATTGGACTTACTACCACCAACCAAAACGGAACTCTGTTCCCCTAACGACCAGAAGAGTAAGGGGCTCTTTCTGCACCCACTAGAAAAAGAGATGGGAAAGACGCAATACAAAAACACACTCAGCAACATAAAAACAAACATGACACCACCAGATTCTAGAGACTCTACACAAGCAAGACTCCAACATTCCAATGCGAACAAAGCAGAATAGAACGACCTTAAAATCATTTTCATGAAATGATAGAGGCCCTAAAAGAGGGTATAGAAAAATCCCTCAAAGAAATGGAAGAAAAAACAAACCAAAAAGTGCAAGAAATGGAAAAAACACAAACCAAAACTGCAAGAATTGCAAGAACCAATGCAAACACTGCAAGGGTTGAAAACTGAAATAGAGACAATAAAAAACACAATCTGAAGAAAGGCAGAAAATAGAATAGCTGGGCAAACAGTCAGGTACTACTGATACAAGCATTACCAACAGAATAGAAGAGAAGGAAGAGAGAATCTCAAGTGTTGAAGATACACCAGGAGAAATGGATTCATCCACCAAAGAAAACCTTAAGTCCAAAAAATCATTAACATAAAGCTTCCAGAAATATGGGACACCATGAATGACCAAACCTAAGAATAATAGGTATAGAAGAAGGAGAAGAAAACCACCTCAAAGGGGCAGAAGACATATTCAACAAAATCATACAAGAAAACTTTCCCAACTTTAAGAAAGACATGCCAATGAAGGTACAAGAAGCGTACAGAACACCAAATAGAGAGGACCACAAAAAATCCCCTAGCCACATAATTATCAAGACACAAAACATACACAATAAATAAAGAACATTAAGAGCAGCTAAGGAAAAAGGTCAAGTAACATATAAAGGCAGACATATCGGAATTACACCTGACTTCTCCATGGAAACTCTGAAAGCCAGAAGGTCCTGGATAGATATTCTACCTACACTAAGAGACCATGGATGCCAGCCCAGACTACTATACCCGGAAAAGCTCTCAATCACTATAGACGGAGAAAACAAGATATTCCATTACAAAACTAGATTCAAGCAATACGTATCCACTAAACCAGACCTACAGAAAATTTTGGAAGGGAAACTCCAACACAAGGAAGCTAACTACAACCAGAAAAACATAGGCATTAGAGAATCCCTCTCTACCAACAGCCAAAAGAACAAAGGGGTGAAATTACACACATAATTCCACCACCAACAACCATTGAAAATCAAAGGATGAGCAATCAATGGTCATTAATATCCCTCAATATTAGTGGAATCACTTGTAGAGTCCTATATCTTTAACTACTTGAGTACAGTTCTGTGTTAACAATCCAGGTACTTTCCTTCTGAATGATCATCTTGCTCATGTTGGGGGCAATTAATCACCCAGATCTGCTCACCTGCGGAGCCATGACAAAAAGTCCTAGAAAGTGGAGAGGGAAGAGACAGTAGTGAATGATCTGGTGGGACACAATTCAGTTTTCCCGCATTCTGTTTTACTAGAAATATTTCTATAGACTTCCAATGAGAAAGATCTCAGAATTATCCTGCTATAGCTATGAGAAGACTTTCTACATAAGAATTGGTACTATTTGGAAAATCAATCTTATATGAATATTCCTGTGAATCATGCATTTAGCTTCTCTTTCAAGATATATCCTTCCCTAATGCTCAGAAATAGACTAGGCTTTCAGTGCCAGAACTGACTTTCCTGTGGTTGAGTACTCCTTAAGTAAAATTATAAGGTGTGAGTTACCACCAATGTATGTGTGCTGCTCTTGCAACCTTCAGGTTATCATGCAGTGCAGACCATTGTTATGGTTCATAATTTTCATACCTGGGAAGGGCTGTTGGCTTTATGTTGGGGGAAGTCTTGTGTCTTTGTCAATAAAGAACTGTTGGCCAATAGCGAACCAAGACAGGTGGGACTAGGAGTCCAGAAGGACTCTGGGAAGGAGAAACACAGAAGTCAAGATAAAACGCCATGGGGTAGGACACCCGGAATGTTCTCCGGTAAGAAAAATAGTTAGATTTTCAATTTTGGGATAAATACTTAAGTCAGGGCTAGCCAGTAAGAAACATACAAGGCCACAGTTTCATAATTAATATAGCCTCCTGTGTGTTTATTTGGGACTGATGCAGCTCTGGAAGCAGTCTGGCGGGAAGGCTTCCTTTTAGAGCTTTAAATGTTGACAGTTTGTCTTATGATACCAAGAAAGCTAGTCCCCATGGTGGAGGCTTTAAATTCCTGCCCACATCAAGACTCCTGGCTCTGAGACAGTGTTTTTCTGTATTTTTGGAGGCTCTCAAACCAGCCTGGCCTCGCCCTCACAGAGAACCGCCTGCCTTCTACCTCCCTAGTGCTGTGATTAAAGGCATGTGCCACCACCACCCAGATAAACCAAGCATTTGAAATGAGGAAATGTTCAAGGCCACCAAGCACTACAGTAGATTGAATTATTCTCATAGAAACTGAGCTCACACCATTAATCCCAGCAATGAGGAGGTGGAGACAGAAGGGGTATGGGTTTGCAGAGGGAGGTATATAAAGCAGGAAGAGAGCCAGCTCACCCCATTCAATCTGAGAATTGCTATACACCGGTTCTTCTCCTTTGTGCCTGAGGATTCACGAGAGGTAAGATGTCACACTTGGGATTGGGTCTTTGATTCTCCAATTTTTCAGCATTAACTCTGATTTCTGACTCTGGGTTTACTAAGACTAATTACTATTCTGGCTACAAAATCTGTTGTTTTAATTTGTGTTTTGTTAAACCCCAGTAATATAACTTGGACTTTTTACATGATGAGGGTCGATGTCTGCTGCTTATTTACAGTGATTTGTACTCAGATATGACGTCCTAGGATTGCAGCAGTCTAGCATCTTTGGATGAGAACAGCTTGTTTGCTCCTTCTCAGTTTTTCTTGGAAAATTATATCTTAAGTATATTTCCATTTGGCAAATAAATGGCTTCAAAAATTTGATGTATAGTGAATTTTTATAATATATTTTGTGGGTTTTTTTGGTCCTGATCATTCACTTCCATTTATACTCGTGGGATTTGACTGGGGAGTGATTCGAAGTGCATTCAGTTTACACTTAGTGAAGATCCTATCTGGGTATCTTCAGTATTATGAGTCTGCATGAAAATGGAGAATCACTTGTAGAATCCCGTGTCTTTATCTACTGAATATAGTACTGAGTTAGAAATCTAGGTATTTTCTAGTGACCTCTTTCTCAAGTGCAGGGCTCACTGATCACCTAGACCTGCTCAACTGTGAAACCAAACAAGGAGCCCTGGAAAACAGAGATAGAGGATACAGTAGCTAAAGATCTGATGAGACAAATTCACTTTGCCACAGTCTGTTTCACTATAAATAATCCTAGAGATATTCCCTGACAATAATCTCAGAATTACCCTAGTATAGCAACTAGAATTTCCACATAAGAATGGATAGTAGTAGGCGAATCAATTTTATATGAATATGCATGTGATTCATGTGTGGTGGATTTGGTTTTCCTCCAAGATCCATCCTTGCCTAACACCCAGACACAGGGTGGGTTTCTAGTGTGAGACATGATTTCCCTGTTGTCGAAGAGGTCTTCTGTCTAATTAGAATCTCTTGGTTACCAGCAATTTGTTTGTGCCACTACTGCAGACTTCATGTTATCATACAGGGTAGACCATTGATATGGTTCATAGTTTTCATACCTGGGTAGGATGTT